AAAAAAAAAAAAAAACTGAAAAATCCTTGTTTATAGGGATTTTTTGTATATCCCTGATTATTTTCTTTTGGTAAATTTCTATAAGTGAAACTGCTGGATCAAAGGACAGAAATATTTTTAGGATTTGTCATACATATTTCCAGACTGCCTTCTGGACAGGAACCCCCATATATACTCTTCTGCAGTGCATAAGAGTCTGATTGGCCAACCTTTTGCCAGTTTGAATATTCAATGGGTAGATTTGTGATAACATCTTTTAGACCTCTTTTAGAATTTTTATTAAAAAATGTTCAAGAATGAAATGTTTCAAAAACACATTTTTCACATTAAAAAAAATCCTTATTTTATTTTGCAGATACACCATTGTATTTATCTATTATGCATTTTGCTTGGTATTGATGATGCTGCTCCGACCTCTTCTGGTAAAGAAGATTGCTTGTGGGTTAGGGAAGTCTGATCGATTTAAAAGTATTTATGCTGCACTTTACTTCTTCCCAATTTTAACTGTGCTTCAGGCAGTTGGTGGAGGCCTTTTATGTAAGTTTGATGGGTAAAGTAAATGAAATATATATTTTTTTGTATATGATAAGCAACATTTCTTTGAATTTAATTTTGAAGTTCTTCTTTTCCTTTAAAATAGTTTGTTTTTTTTTTTTAATTTGAAAATCAACAATATATGTTCTTGCTAAGACATATGTTTAATCTTAAAAAAGTAATCATGAGTTTCTTGTATTGGAATACAAATTCTCAAAACTGAAGACAGCTAATCAAAACAGATTTCTGTTTAGAGAATACCTTGAGGCTCGTACCTAAATAGAAATAGATGAACCAAAGAGGTTTTAAAAAAATCCTGAGTATATAGTTGTTTCTCTTTCTGTCACTTAAGCTTGCATTATATATATATATACATATATATATGTATATGTATATAATATATATATAAAACCCGAGTATAAATTAAAAGACAAAAACTTCTTTGCATATGACACATAGAAATTACTCTCAATTATATATACTTTTTAGCATTAAGTTGTCTTACATTTCTGAGTTCCTCTATGAAAACCTTTTAGATACAGCCAAAAATTCTTAATGTGTTCATTATTTAATATATCCATTTGTAATATAATTGTTCAGTAACAGTTCAGACTGAATTGTGATTCAAAAGAGAATTTAAAAAGTTCATTGTTATAAGGCTTATAAACTACTAGTACATAAAAGCACCAGCACTCCTCGGAAGGAAGGTTGGGCAATCTACTTCTGTAGTGATACCACCTCTAAAACCCAAGGAGGGGTCACTGTGAGTTGGGTCCGACTCGATGGCACATAACAGCAACAACAACAACACATAAAAGCAGGAAAAATAAATACCTGGGGGAGACATTGTATAGTATTTATTTGAGTATGTGACATTAGCATTACAAGGATGTTGGATACTAGCTTTTTCATATGGAGCCTACAAGGGTGCAGTGGGCAAGTCTTTTAGCCTAAAGGAACTGGGCATGACTGGATATCATTATGCAAGTAATATAATTTGGATCAGAGTAAGTTAGAAGCCCTAGGAAGAGGAGATTGGAGACCAGGCAGAGGTGTTATCCCTCATATTCTGGTTTACAGATTCTGTTTCAGTTAGCATGCATGGTGTTTCAAAATCTGTAGTTCTCTCCAGCTCCTACCATTCTGTTTTAGGATTAGACCCACTTAAGTCACTTACCTTCCTCCCTGGTGGTACAGTGGTTAAGAGTTTGGCTACTAACTGAAAGGTCAGCAGTTCAAACCCACCAGCCTCTCCATAGGAGAAAGATGTGGCAGTCTGCTTCCATAAGAATTTCAGCCTTGGAAACATGAAAGGGCAGTTCTACTCTGGCCTACAGTATGACTGAGTTGGAATCATCTCGATGGCAATGGGTTTGTTTTTTGGTTGTACATATTTGAAGTAGCCGTGGTGGCACAGGAGTTAAATGCTTGTCTGCTAACCAGAAGGTGGCCGTTTGAACCCACCAGCCACTTTGTGGGAAAAAGATGTGGCAGCCTATGATTATTCAGATGTTTCTAGTTGTAGGCTATCCTTACTTCTTCATAAATATCAAAAAAATATTTAAAAAAAACAAACTCACTGCTGTCGAGTAAGATCCAACTCATAGCAACCCCTCTTTGGGTTCCCGAAGCAGTATCACTGCAGAAGTAGATTGCCTATCTTCCTTCCAAGGAGTGGCTGGTGGCTTTGAACCGCTATCCTTCTGGTTAGCAGTCAAATGCCTTAGGCACTGTGGTACCAGAGCTCCTCGGAAACTTTATGGGGCGGTTTCACTCTGCTCTTTAGGGTCAGCTTGAAGGCAGTGGATAATATGTAAGCATTTGGGAGCTCCTTGGTGTTCCAAACTGTTAACAAACTCAGCTGCTAACCAAAAGGTTGGTGGTTTTAGTGCACCTAGAGATACTTTGGAAGACAGGGCAACTATTTTTATTGGTTTGTTTTGGGTGATAGGCATTTGATGTTGCTGTTACTGCTTAAGGAGCCCTGGTGATGCAGTGGTTAAGCGCTCGACTGCTACCCAAAAAGTCAGTGGTTCAAACCTACCAGTTGCTCTGCAGGAGAAAAGATCTGGTGATCTGCTCCTGTAAAGATTCACATAAACCCAAACCAAATCTGTTGTCATCAAATCAGTTCTGGCTCATAGTTACCCTATGGAATAGAGTAGAACTGCCCTATATGCTTTCCAATGCTACAGTCTTTATGGAAGACTGCCACATCTTTCTCCCAGGGGTCTGCAGACCTAGCCACAAGCCAAGGATGTTTTGATATTTTTAAATGGTTGAAGAAGAATCACAGAATAATACTTATTGACATATGAAAATTATATAAAATTCAAATGTTAGTGCCCATTGGGTTTGATTGGAATGCAGCCACACACATTTATTCCTATGCTAAGTGGCTGCTCTCCCACTACAACTGCAGTCTTGGGTACTTGCAACAACACCTGAAATATTGACTCTCTGGCCCTTTACAGAAAAGTTTCCTGACCTGTGCCTGGGGCATTAGGGCTTAAGTCTCTTAAACACTGGCTGTGAAAGGTTTTAAATCTAGAGATAATTCATACTGTTTGAATTTTTTGATGGTTTATTCAGAAAATTTAATTTTTCAACATAATACCAACACTTGTCTTTCAGATTATGCCTTCCCATACATTATATTAGTGTTATCTCTAGTTACTCTGGCTGTGTACATGTCGGCTTCTGAAATAGAGGTAGGAAATCTTTCCTAAAGTTTTTCTAAACAGACTTAACAATTGAGTAAGAACAATACATATGATATGATCTGGTACAACTGATGTTTTAATAATACTTGGCTAATTATAAGTCAGTGAGTAGCTTTTAGTGCATTAGTTTATGAAATGTGTAGTGGTCTACCTATCTGTTGCTTGGGACACTAGTGGAAAAGTGAATCAGTCAGACATGGCAGAGAAAAATCATTTCATGTACTATATACATATGGCAAATATTTAATTATTGAAATAATTAAAACTTATTAGCACTATTTTGAGGGTAATATAAATATGCTTTGCCATAAATAATACTAATTTTACACTTTATTTTGCAATGGCATTATTAACAGTAATCAATAATTATATTGTGTATGCTATGCCCTTCTGTACTTTACCTCCAGTTTACTTTTCTTGATTATGGAGATAACATTAATAGGCATATTAGATTTGATACTGTTCTTTTTCTCCCTCTAACTTTTCAGTATTTTAGTGGTGGGCTGCTGTTAGAACTCTCTATTTTGAGGCTAAACTAAAGGAATAAATAGTATGAGGTGTTGTAATACTCTGATGCTCGCTAACCTAGTGCCTATGAACCATCTTAAACTGCTTACTACAGTTAGGTGCTTTCTCATAGCTCTTAACATAAAAAAGCTTGGCCCAAAGAAAATGAGTTCCAAACATTTTGAATCAGTTGCTGCTCGTGCCACCTGTTATGGTACATGTGAAAGAATGAGGGAAAAAAAATCTGGAGATCATAGTGACTCTTAGGTGGGATACTAGTAGAGGAACTACACAGAATAATTTTATTGTGATTATTCAGATGTTTCTAGTTGTAGGCTATCCTTACTTCTCTTTCATAATCTTTAATCAACATGGTAATATAATTAGTTAATTAAGGAAATTAGTTTTTGTACTTTTAGCAACTCTGGGGAAAGCTTAAGGATCTCTGATGGTGCAGTGCCTAAGGCATTTGACTGCTAACCAGAAGGCTGGTGGTTCAAACCCACCAGCCACTCCTCGGAAGGAAGACAGGGCAATATACTCCTGTAAAGATTTACTGGCTTGGAAACCCAAAGGGGGTTGCTGTGAGTCTGAACTGACTCAATGGCAGTAAGGGTTTTTTTTTTTTTTT